CCTTCAAGTGAAAAACTACTGTTCCTGATCATTCGCTACCGATTCCAATGGGAACCCTATGAAGGCGGCACGTTTTAGCTCCCTGATTTACTTGGCACTACTTTACCCGCCATCGTATTTTAGCCGATAGCCTGCTTTCCGCTTCCCTGCTGAGCCGTTGAGGCATCATTGTTAGTTTTTCCTAAATGGCGAGGGAAGGCAGCGCCTGGCACTGACACCGATAAACGCATAAATTACATACCCTTTCCACTTGACCAAACAAACACGAATACATGAGAGAACATTTATATATTCGTTAATTAAAGTTTCATCAAGACAAAACGATTAACAGATACAATTAAAACAACATATTAATTTCGGTTGAAGAGACCCAGTGTTCCTGACTTTTTTTTCAAAATCTTGTCCGTTGGCGAGTTTTTTCCGGAATTTTCATTTGTCATTGACATTGACAAGGATGTTTTCGAGTCACCAATGCTGCCTCTTCGTAGATCATCCACCTTTAACCGAAGTTATATCAGTAGCTAGTTAAAATTGTATCCTCTCACACCTCAAATAATCCCATAATAGTATTTCCTACACGTTTCCACCTTTTACCATAACACCTAATCGTATAATCGAATCAATACCTATTCAAAAACATATTCTTTTCTACCGTAAGACCGTTTTGATTGATTCAATCCAGAAATGGTAGACCGAGTTTAAAGAAAGGCCGCTTACCTCACGCCTGAGTCTCTCCAACTCTGCCTTGCGCAGCTCAATCTCTTCCTTCAAATCGTGCTCACGTATGTCTAACTGAAACAAAAATGATGTTATCTAAAACTAAACGAAATTAGTAATTTGATAAAAGTGGAGCAAATGAGATGCGTGCACTCGCGACGCAGCGTTCGAGGTTGAATGATTTGAGACAAATGTACCATGTGGTCATTCGTTCATGATCGGAGCATTTCAAACGTATTTCTTCAAAACTTTGTTTGCGAATGGATCCCTCTTACATCACTGTTAAAAACCGCCTGCGGCCACGGCGCGCGCTGTTGCGACGCATTTGCCCGCTAACTATAAACTGTAGATGAAACAACTCCTACCCTGGCTACTCTCTCGTTGATCTTGGCTTCTCGTTCATTGACTCGCTCGGCAAAAGTCTGAAAATTTGGCTACTAGTAAATCAAAGTGTAAGAAAAAAAACAACAAACATACTGGTCTGATCTACTGCAACGAACCTTTTCAAAAGCGCGTTTCTTCTCGGCCAGTTCCTGCTCTTTCTTTTTTCTATCTTCCTCCATTTGTGTGAAGGGGTCCCTAGAAAAAACAGATGTGAGACTGACAGGAGAGGTGGGGCACAGTAGGAAGGCTTGTGTAGTTAGTGTTTCTTACCGGTCCATCACATGCTTTGGGAGCTTATCCATTTGTCGAAGGCGGAAGTTCTCGTAGTGCACAGACCGAGTGACGTCAATCATATCAATGAGATTCGTCCGTACGACCATATCTCGGAGTGGGATGAAGTCATTGTGAGCCATATTCTCAACTTCCACCACGCCCCATGGGTATTCTCTGAAATCGTGGCTCATAAGGAAGAAGAAGTACCGAGTATGTGGATTAGGTGGTACAGATAGGCGAGCTCCTGTGGATTTTTTGTGACTGAATTGTCGCGCACCTCATAAATACCCTGCTAACCCGCGAAAAAGAAATGTGCTGGAATTCGACAGTTACTCACCAATCTGCAGCGCGAAATGATCTCGTACTTCGAATATCCTCAAAAAAATTCGTAACTGTTCGACTCACCTATATCTTATTTTCTTTCCACCTTCTTCTTTCAAAAGATTGCTACCAACAATCGCAAATGGTAGACAATTTCTCAGTCGTTCGCTTGCAGCCTCAAAACAGAAGACTTAAAAGCTTATTGGTAGTTTGTTTGTGTTTGAGTGAATCAGGTGTGGGTAGAAGCTATTAATGGGTGTAGGAAAGTGAGAGGGTGAACAAAAACATTGTAGGCGCCTATTTCTGTCTTTGTACTGCCAGTATCTTTGTGGTCATTTCGGTTATTCATTACGAGAACACGTTCGAAGATTGGTCAAAAGCTAGGGTTCTGGAATAGCCCACGAAAATCTTACTGGTCCGCTTTCTCGACTAATCCCCGCGCAGCGTGAATAAATTATTGGCTCGAGTCTTACGTCTATAACCTTTCGAATGGTTAAACCTCTGAACGATTTCGTAGAATGAAGTCATGACTCATGAGAAGCAAAAACAAGTACAAGGCCTCCTTTTTTACTGATACTACTACCACTGAACCGCTATAAGCTTCATGCACTTTTGGCCTAATTATTGGAACTAATGTGTTGGCAATGCATTTTTCAAAACAAAGATTGAAAACAATTTAAAGCAAGGAAGTAGCAGTAAAAACATACAAATAGCAGCAAAAGCAAAATAATTCCAAGGACTCACCTTATCTTTCTCCTCGTCGAGCTCAGGGAATTTATACAATTTGATTTCATTTGCAACGATTTCCTTATTGACCTTAACGAATAATTTCATGCGTAAACTTTTGAGAGATATGAAAAAGCTTTTGATGGCTCAATGCAAACCAATAATCGGAATCTTACTTGAGCCTTAAACTTCCTCAACTCGTCTTTTGTCAAACAATCGGCCTTAGCAATAACTGGCACAATATTAACGCGAGTGTGAAGCTGCTTCATGAACTCAATATCCAACGGTTTCAGTCTGAATGGAAAAACTAGTATCTTCTGATTTTGTCGATAACTGGTTTCACTATCAAAGTAGAACGAAATCAACTTACCCATGACCACTGGGCTCGATAAAGTATAAACAAAGGTGCACACATTTGTCAACGGGCCGGTCTTTTCTTTCAATTTTTGTTTCTTCGCAGAAGAATTCGAGAAATTTCCCATCGACATAGTGGATGATAGGTTCCCAACTAAATGGTTACAAATACCAAGTTATAAGTAACATCAGTAAGCAATTTGATACATAAGTAATTTTAATAAATAATAATATTAATAACATATGTTAGTTGTGTATATACTAGAAAGAAAATGTGTAAATCGTAAAAACAGGGAATAAAGTAAGAACTCTTCTCACCATCGTGTATTATTGACAGCATCTCCAAATCCGGGTGTATCGACCAACGTCAAGTTTAGTTTTACAGTATTCTCGACCAGCTTTACCTACAAATCACACATTTTTCCTCACTCTTTTCTCGTTTTTCGAAATCTACATCTCAGTGCATTCACTAGATTTCTTAAATCATTAATTTTGTTGAGTTTAACTATCTCAATCGTTCTGACTCTCCTATCTTCCATTCAAAACCTGCCTTTCCCCCATACCTGAGCCCACTCTCACACTTTCTTGAGTCATTTCACTTGCACGCACTATGGCCTACGTTTTAACGACATGCACTTTTGAGGGCCACTGCATTTTCACAAAGGTCTATTCGTCACCTTCCCTAATTCTTTCGGAGCTCCCTTTTTTGTATCGCGAAATTATTTGGATTGGCCAACTAAACGACCGCTCGACGACAGGGGCTGATATAGATCATTGTGATTCAAACTTTCATATAATCACGTTATTCGAATAAGGAATAAGTCAGAAACCAATAATAAATAAGAATCGTAGCGAAAGATCTCACATTCTTCTCTTCGATACGTACTGTAGAGCCAGTAGGCGGAGGTGGGGTTTTTAAGTCGTTAATCTCTGCTAAGAACAGCGTGTTTATAAATGTAGACTTGCCGAGGCCACTGCGCCCTGAAAAAAAAAACGCTTCAGCTGTCTTGAACTTTAACTTTCATAATCAAATCAAACACCTACCTACTACCATGAGGGTGAAATTAAAGCCATGTTTGATAGCTCGGCGGAATACTTGATTCGGAAAATTCGCGAAACCCCAATAGTTTTGAGGCTCATTCAGTGGAGTGGAACGATGAGATTCGTCGAGCTTTGCTCGACTCATAACTGAAGATAACTGAGCAATCAATACTAATTGTAAGATTATTTCACAGCTACTAACAATTGATCGGAAAATATTCAAGAGTTTAAAACGACGGGACGACAATTACAGAAAAATACAAATTCAAGTAAGTAGACAGCAAGCATTTTACAGTAATGGAACTTGAACTTTTGGTCTCACGTTATCCGATTTAGAAACTGAAAATGGTGACCGAGTGTTAGAGGAAACTTCGGGTTTGTGTGAGGCTCAGATTCATAATTGTCCTTTACAAGCATCGTGCCCTTTCCCCGCCTTCTTAATGGCATTTCGGACATAGCCTATAAGCACCCGAACGTACAGCGTACGTGGTGAGCCGGTCAGCCGACATCGGCATTGAACCGTAAACTTTACGCTTTTTGATGTTAATTGATACGACTTG